ACCAGTAACAATATCGGCCGTCTATTGTCCACCAGGTTTTGCGATTCCTCGGGACAGTTTTTCGGCATTTTTTCAATCTCTCGGCCACCGATTTATCGCCGGTGGTGACTTTAATGCTAAATATCAACGTTGGGGCTCACGATCAGCGACGCCGTCACCGAGAGGCAGACAGCTGTACGAGGCGATGCGTGTCAATAATTTATTTCCTATCTCGACTAGAAAACCAACATACTGGCCTACTGACAGAAATAAATTGCCGGACTTAATTGATTTCGCAATAGCCAAGGGAATTGATAAGAAGCACTTCATAGCGAACACATGTCTTGATCTGTCATCTGACCACTCGCCAATACTTATAAATTACCACTCGCAGATACTAATTAATACAAAAACTTCTCAAAAAATCGACTGGGTAAAATTTCAAGAGCACTTAAAAAATCACACAAAGTGTAATATTCCCCTGAAAACGTCAACAGATATTGAAACAGGAGTAAAAACCCTGTATAATAATATTGAGTGTGCTTTAAACCAAAGCACCACAAAAGTTCAAGACAAACCGAACCCAATGTACATTCCAAATCATATCAAAATCAAAATTGAACAAAAACGAAAACTCAGGAAAATTTGGAGAAACTCAAGATCACCTTACGACAAACTGCGACTCAACAAGGCCATTAAGGAATTGAAAGAGATGCTTGTTATAGAGAGAAACACTGCCGTCGCAAAATACCTACTCAACCTTAGTTCAACGGAAAAAACTGACTATTCATTATGGAAAGCCACTCGCTCCATAGATAGACCTGAAAAGTTCAACCCGCCAATTAAAAAACCACCCGGTGACTGGGCGAGAACAGACGCGGAAAAGGCCAGCACCTTCGCGATCCACCTAACCGAAGTATTCAAGCCCAATGATAGAGTGATCTCCGAAGGATCGGAGGCTGAACTTCTGACCTGCCCACAACGAGCTGTACAGTGCAACAACATTATACAAGCGGCAACACTAAAGGAGGTAGTGTATATAATAAAAAATATAAAAAAGAAAAAAGCCCCAGGACATGACAACATCGCTGGCAGAATAATTAAGGAGCTCCCTCTCGTAGCAGTAAGACTCCTTACTATTATAATAAATGCGTGCCTCAGGCTCCACTACTTCCCTGCACAGTGGAAAGCGGCACAGATAATTCTTATCCCAAAACCAGGAAAAAGCATTGAACTGGTAACATCCTACAGACCAATTAGCCTCTTGCCAGTCTTCTCCAAAATTTTGGAAAAAATAATCTTGGCCAGACTGTACCCAATTATTAAATCAAAAAAACTAATTCCGAATCATCAATTTGGCTTCAGAAGTCAACACTCCACGATCGAGCAAGTAAACCGTATCACCGCAACAATCCAGGGGGCATTGGAGAAAAAGAGCTACTGTGCTGCGGTATTCTTGGATGTCGCACAGGCTTTCGACAAAGTGTGGCACGCAGGGTTGCTGCACAAACTTGAAGTAACGTTACCCAGTGGCTTGTATAAGCTGCTGCAGTCGTACCTGAGTGACAGAGTCTTCCGCACTAAGCACAATGAGGAAGTATCAAGTTGGTGTCCCATAAATGCAGGAATTCCTCAAGGTAGTATTTTAGGCCCTACGCTGTACCTCCTGTATACAGCTGACATCCCCGAAATGCCTGGCATTACGGTAGCAACCTACGCGGACGATACCACTGCTCTCGCATCGCACAAAAATGTCTACACAGCGACACTGAGGCTCCAGAACTATCTATCCAAATTACAAGAATGGTTCAAAACATGGAGAATCCATGTAAATGAGCGAAAGTCAGTGCATGTCACTTTCACTCTTTGCAAAGAAAAAAGTCCACCCGTAACTATAAATGATACCTTGATCCCCCAACGCGATGAAGCAAAATACCTGGGCATGCACTTGGACAAAAGGCTCACTTGGAGAAGTCATATTTGGACAAAGCGAAAACAACTGGACATGAAACTGAGAAGCATGTACTGGCTCTTGGGCAGGAACTCACAGTTAACACTTGAAAATAAGATTCTCGTCTATAAATCCATACTCAAGCCTGTTTGGACCTACGGTATTCAACTTTGGGGTCTCGCATCTAAATCGAACATCGATATAGTAGAGAGATTTCAAGCCAAGACGCTGCGACGAATGGTGGACGCACCTTGGTTTGTTACAAACGAAATCATCAGAAACGATTTGAAAATTTCATCAGTCGCAAGCGAGATAGAAAAGTATCTGGCAAAATACAAAGCAAGGCTTACAAAACATCCAAATGAGCTGGCCTCCAACATTTTAAAAACTAGGATAAAAAAATCCAGACTTAAACGATTCAGTGCTCAATCTCAAGTGTCACCGTAACTCAACTGCAATAGAAATTAGACCATGTCCGGACGATTCCACTGGGAACATCGGAGCACCACGTTAAATAGCTATGGACCGTACATGATTGACCTACGGTCATGTATAATATGTAACCATCGCTATTAAATGTAAAAAAATCTTACTTATTGTCTCACGACAGATTGTAGATTAATATTTGAAAAAAAAAAAAAAAAAAAAAATTGTACAGCGTTCAACAGATTGGGAAAAGATTATAAAGAAAAATAAGTTTGCTAGCAGGACATTCAATGAAGATTAAAAGTTTAACAAGTTCAATGAAATTCCAAAGTTTTTATTTTAATAGCTACTGTATAATGTAATAATAGCTATTATGCTTGTTTCAAAGCGTCAAGTCATAGTTTTAAGACTAAAATTTATTTTAATTTATAGTTTGAAATATAATAACTGAAAAAACCACTTGATTACAAGTAATTCGTGTATTATTAATGTTAACTTTAAAAAGATTTCATTAACTAGCCAAATTTTGTTAAAAATGAAAAGTTTATGTTAGAAATCATCCTAATCATCATAGTTTATTGAATGTCTCAATAAAGTAACTATAATAAAAAAATAGTTCAGAGTTTTATTTTGGTGTACCGTCCTTTTTTACTTTTTGAATTCAAGATTATGCTTATGTAGATTTACTTTGTACTTATATATAAAAGTTATAATGTAAATAGGTAAATAGACTTCAATCTCATAAAATAACCCACTTTCAACAAATGTTTAATTATTGAATTAAATATGTATACGCCTATATCGCTCGGCCGGTAACATCACGCAGGGATTAAAAGCCGCACTTTCGTACCTAGGAACGTAATATACTATTTCTCACTCTCTTTATTACTCCTTATCTCTCCTATCGGAACTCTCAAAAATAGTTGAGCGGGTCTTCCACGCTCAACTGTCTGAATATCTTTCTCAGAATGGTTTGACGGATCCGGTACAGCAAGGTTTTAGGCTGGGGCACTCCACCTCGACTGCACTGTTGGAGATCACTGAGCGAGCCCGCAGAAAAGTACCTGTTTTGGTGTCTTTCGACTTCTCGAAAGCGTTCGACACCTTCGACCACACCATCCTGAAACGCAAGCTCATTTATGCCAGTTGCTCTGATAAAGCGATTTGGTGGTTCGTGAGCTACTTGGGCGGCAGAAGTCCCTATCGACTAGCTCTGGAATGGCTCTCGGCTCGGGTATACAGAGAGGTCATCAACTGCTCCCTAGCATCTCGTATCATCAGAGATTGCAGAGTGCCCGTTGAGACTGAGAAAATCAGACAGTCCGCGCGGCGCCGACCCCCAGTGCTCTTCTACAAGGCTCCGCGCACCACATTATTAGATCACTCATTTGCATTTTCATCTGACATAGCAATCAATAAACTTCCTTTCATCACGAACATCCTCTCCCCGCCTTCTTTCTTCCAGTCCCTTCACACCTCCTTCCTTATGCAGCACGAGAAGGCGGAGTGGTTGCAGCCATGCAGGATAGAGGGCCTTGCCCCTGTCCTGCTTGAACTGACTCACGTGTTGAATTTGAATATGGCATAACCAAAATTGCGCAATGGAACATCTATTTAGTTTGTTAAATATACTGTGCTATTCTGTAATATTCTGAACTTACAACTGTACTGTTTTAATTATTATTGTTTACATTTTTACTATTTGTTTGAACTGCCGTTGGACCTTATCTGGTTATACCTCAAGGCCCCAATAAATCTCTTGATCAATCAATCAATCAATCCTTCTTGAGAAGGGCCTGCAGGAGGCTATAGCTCGTGCGCAGGAGAAATTTAACTATCTCTTTTTGGCTAACTGTAGCTCTGTGGTCGCGTTGAAAAATACGTCAGTTATGGTATTTTCATTTTTTTACGGAGGATGCAGAAATTTTAAAAGATGTTTTTACTGGTATCGAATCAAATTTTTTTTTGTTAGAAATCGAAAATAGAAATTTCGGAAATCCAAGCACGTTTTTCAACTTCACTGAGTAATATATAAGATGTCCTTGAGAATGAGCCAATCTAGAAAAGCTGGCATCGCATTCGGATTCAGCGACTCCAAAAACATTAAGTCCTGTGAGTCTTGTCTATGTGGACATGAATATTTTTTTATGTATCTGTATTATTGAATGGAACAGTAGCGCGTCAACTATAAAACAGGTGTCGCTTCACTGTGACATGACTTCTATTTCTTAAATTGATATTGTAAATAATTCCACACTTCTACTTTTTGAGTTGACATCCATTATTACTATAAAATTAGTCGAGAAATCTATTGATGCCCTCATTTTTAAAAAAAATTTTCATATTAATGGAAATATATTAGAAAAACAATAGTAATCTGATGCTTTAAGAATCCGAAAAACGATATGATTGCCGCTAGGAGTTCTGGTAGATTCGCGCTTCACCATCTTGGCTGACATTGATAGCAAATTGAGGGTAATTAAAAATTTTAAACGTTGACTATTTTTTCTCAATCCCTGCACAAGATACTATTTTTTAATCATTTTGCTAATAGAGTTTTATCCCAAATTTATAAGGTCATTGTATTTTGAAAGAACATTTATTTTTTTATCAATATATAGTTTATCTTATTAATTTTTTATAGATTCGCACAAATATGTTCACAAATGAAAAGCCATCAAAATGAAAAGTTATTAGATTACGCACAAAAAAAATTCATCAGCTATTTTACGTATTATCACACCTGTCAGTTGGACGAGTTGAGGCTTTTTTTGGAAAACGAATCTTGGGAACTTTGTCCTGCAGAATCAATCACCGAAGAAATTAATTTTACTCAAGCCGATCTTCATTCTTCACTCAAAGAACGATTAGTAAATTCGAAAAATTTTTTAAGGCACAATTGTTTATCTAATGATCAAAGTGAAACATCATGTTGCATTCTGAGTAATGAAGAACTATTTAAAGAGAATTTTGTAAGTAAAATAATGATTACATAAATACACTGAACTCAATGCCTTTGAGCGATAATACTCTGCTCGAGAGAGCAGTGCATTATATGTTTGCATGTGCTTAAGCACCATCTTGTTGTTTTGAAAATCAAAGCAGCATTTTATCAATGGAATGCGTCATACTGTAAATCGAGATACAAATTTTAATGAAATTGTAAGACTAAATGAACTGAAAATTGACAAAATTTCAATGCAATTTTGTGTTGCGATAATTTTGTTGAGTAGTGTAGTTTCGTGATTGACGTTTCAAATGCTGTTTAAATTTATGGATCATGACATCATAATCAGAACGGTCGTTAGATCGGTTGGGTAACGTGCTAGCCATCGAAACAACGTCCGCTCGAGGGGCCGTGGGTTCGAATTCTGGTGAGGGCATTTGAGTTTTTCCGAGTGCCATTCGATGGGAGGAGTACCCCATAGACATAAGAGATATAGACTGCGGGCCCCTTGCAACGCAGTGAAGCTCGGAGCGAAAAAGAAAAAAGACGTAATGTTGTATCTCCTCTCTTTCTATCTCCTTAGGTGCGTTCACGCATGCCGAGCTCCGACAGCAGCCGGCTTAAGCCAAAGCTCGAGGCCGATGAAAATAAATAACTATAACCTCCTAGGAAATATAAATGATCTTAGCCGTGTGGCTAAGACTATATGATTTTGCGATCGGGATCACGGGTTTGAATCCAATCGCTCCCCGGCCGTGTGCAACGATTTTTTTTCACTTATTTTCTTGTTATAGTTTCACCTGAACCTTTCCAACGTATTAATAATTCATTATTATTACTTTTTGAACAAAAATACCATTAAAAATGTGATAAAATAATTTTCGAATAAGTAACTGACTCAGATTTAAAACTTTGAAATAGGACAATATCTCATTTTATTAACATTTTATAAATTAAATAAGTAATAATTATATTTTTTTATCAAGAAGCTCTGTGCCAATGAATTGGCAGAATTGTTTTTTAAATGGTGGGAGGCCTATTCCACTTAGCAGCGTAGTGTAATTAAATACCTAAAAAGTTTATTGATTCTTAAAAACAATTATGCGCTGGAATTTAGTTCGGACGCGCGATTTAAATTCGGATAGCTTTGACGCCTCCTGGTAGAGTTGGAGAGAAAAATAATGCCTCAGTACAAGCCTCATCAATTGATTTTTGTGATCGAATAATGGTGCTTGTTCGAATGTGAGCTCATTTTTTACGAACAACTACTATAATCATTCTACGAATGATTTGTGCTTGCACCAAAGTAGTTTGCTTTTTTGAAACTATCTCGGTGGTCCGGCATAAAAGCAGAACATCCTGTGAACCTGAAGTCAACGCTTCGTTAGTTTTCCTTACTTGCAGGGAAGAAAACGAGTGATTTTTTTCCTCTACAATAGGATTTTTAATGCATTCTTGGCACTTGATTTTCTTCTGGATCGATTTTACTACTGCTCCACTGATGTAAGCTATAACTTCATTTGCATACCCGCTGAGGTGAATGGACTCGCCCAAAATCGATGCATTGACGATATCTTCTGAATTTTCATTGATTTCAACCTCGCTTTCCTACAAAAGAATAAGATTAATTATTATATTGGAAAATTGTTTCACACTGAAAACAAAATAGAAGCAATAATTACTGATGTCGAAAGCAGTCCTTCATAACCGAAGCAACCCGTTGTGAGGCAATGTTTACCTGGGCCCCAAGTAAATACTATTGGTATTCAAAGCCAAATATGATTTTCAATGAATCGAATGTCAAGCAGTATTTGCTTGTAGCCAGGAAAACATTGCTGGGTTGCTTGGGCTATGAATCAGTGGCTTCTTTCCACATCAGTAATTATTGCTTTAATTTTTTTGCAGTACATATAAAAAATTATGATAAAAATTTACCACTTCGTTATTACTCGCTCTTCTCATGAGAACTAGCGTGTCGTTTTTAAGTGTGCAGTTTTCTGTCAGAAGTACTTTGATACCGACGTGCGAAATTAATTTGAGGTACGCACTTCTATACTGACAAATCGTAGGATTATTATTAAACCCATCAGCTTTTCGTATGCACGCAAAAACATCTTAAGATGATATTGAGAGAGCTTTTACGTCAATAAAAAATCAAGGTATCCTTCTGCAAACAAGTCAATCACTATCTGCACTGCATTCTTCATGAAAATTATCAATCCTAAGAAACCTGTACGCTTATTCGTCTTCAGGATTGATTCTCCGTAGATTTTCAAATTTTCGATGTATGCAGTATAAGTATCGACTTTGATACGAAAAACATCAAGATTTTGTTGAGTAATCGATGATTTACTCGGACATTTATTAAATCTATTTCTAGAGTTTGATAAATCGAAACAGTCATCGATTACTCGACAAAATCTTGCTGTAGCATTGAAGTTTTCGAACTCTTTAAATTCAAGCTCGTACTCGCAAGTTTCTAAAGCCGCTACCACGCTTTTGCTGAGCACTTGAGATGCCAAACAAACCTTCATTATTTTGTTGTCTGGTTCAACGTGGCGACGTCTAATTTTCGTGGCCAGATGCAAGCCCTCTTCTCTCTGGATCTTCACGAGCTTTCTAATAAACATCCACAATATTTCAATATCCACATTCGATAGGAAATTTTCTCAGCTTTTTCATGGTGGTATCAGATTTTTCGATACATTGCATATTCACGGAGAAAAAATCACCACCAAACATACCGAGCTAAATATCTCGAAAAAATCAGTACTGAAAAATTGAACTTTTTGGTTTATTTTTGATTTCTTCTTATTAAAATTGAATATTTCGGAAAATTTGATATTACCATTGGAAAGCTGAGAAAATTTTCTTATCGAAAACGTTATTAACGTTTTCATTTTTACGACAAAGTAGTTATTTTCTTCATTTTCTATATTATCTCGAAAAAAATCGTTTTGACTACACTAAATTAAGTTTTGTTAAATATTTTCATCTTCTGAGCACAATCATTTAAATTTCAATATTTTTACAGATATCCAATGCAGATGAATTCGAAGAGAATATTAGAGCATCTCAATCATCTCTTCCAAGTGATAGTTTTCAGGCGCTAATAATTAGTCAACATTCTAAAAATAGTAATCATACGATTTGTACAAGTACCACACTTCATATTATGAGGATTTGTAAAAAATACATTCGATTTTCGAAAATATTTAATGGGTGCATGAATCAGATTATAAAATCTATGAATCAGTTATTTGAATTATACCTTTTGATACTGAATGACAATTTTACTGAAAATTCTGTAAGTATTTCATGTAGTTTCATAATTACAAAAAATAAATGTAACTAATCATACCCACACAGACTAAAAGCTTTTCATCAAAGCAATTTAAGTGCCACATACAAATATTAGGCAAGTTCTGTATCTTCCATAACAGTTAGCTGATGACATAGCCCGGATCTTCTTTTAGAGTGGTACCCGCTCCACCTCGAACCTCGAAAATTCGTCTGGTGGGAATGGAACCCACGCCCTACGGCGTACCTTGTATCAGCAGGCAAGAACTATACCCACTGAGCCAAGGAGGCCCATTGTGTGTGTGTTTTTTTTTTTTTTTTTTTTTTTTTTTTTTGGGGGGGGGGNCTTGCACCAGTGGCCCTTCCGAACTCTGGCATGATTCCCACCGGAACCATCGTTAGATATTACTTCGGTGGGTGCCTTTTAGCAGTGCTGCTGCATCGACGTATTTGGTCATTTCCCTACATCCCCCATCCACCGCACGCCAAGGCGCAGTGATCAGGGGTTCAGGAACCGTGTCAACTCGTTGGTGATCCCCTGCTCGCCCCGCGGAGCCCTCATCCAGCGTCATTTTCGCCTTCCGGAGCCGTCTTTGTCGGTGCTCTCCCTTGTGCTGATGTTTCCTCTTTCGGTAAGTTCGTCAGAACTTCACCGTAAGCTGGACTAGTGCCGTCCTTGTGAGGGTGGTCCCGGTCTCACGCCCGACACCGTCCAGCATCTCCGCTTCTTGCGAGCACCTCTCGCTTTTTCTGGCTTTCCTCCATGATGAGTAGAAACTCCGTCGGTCAGCGCCAGCACTAGAAGTTCTGATATCGGGCTCCATCCCTTTTGGGATTACACCTTGGAGCCGAGGGGTCGGTGCTCTTCCTTGTGACGGCGCTTTTCCTCCAGCATCTCCGCTTCTTGCGAGCACCTCTCGCTTTTTCTAGCTTCTTCCATGATGAGTGTAAACTCCCGTCGGTCAGCGCCAGCACTAGAAGTTCTGATATCGGGCTCCTTCCCTTTTTGGGATTACACCTTGGAGCCGAGGGGTCGGTGCTCTTCCTTGTGTTGACGCTTTTCCTCCTGAATGATGCACTCCGTTGTCCGACATCAGCACTAGGAGTTCTGGCTTTCGGGCTCCATTTTGCGGGAATTCTTCTCAACTTGTGCCGCAGGGTGATTGGAGGATATTTCACCACCCTCCAGGAGGCTGCCTACAGCCGTGGACCTACAGTTTATAGTGGAATCCGAACCACTTCGGGCTCGGGCTCGACCTCACCGAGCGAAAAATCACGAATGAAATTTCCCTCAGTAGGGATCGAACCCGCTCCCTCAGCACAGCGTTGGTTTAGCAGATAGGTGGCCCAACGCCTCTACCCACTAGACCAACGGAGGCTGTCTTGTGTGTGTGTGTGTGTGTTTTTTTTTTCTACTCCACCCCATTCGGACACTCACCGGTATCCGCCGTTAGGCATTGCTTCGGTGAGGCCGGGGTTGGTTGAGCATTTCTGCTACTCCTGTTAGTCGTTGTTTTTCCATACATCCCCCATCCGTCGCATAGTGATATGCTACGATTAGGGGTTCAGGGACTCATCTTTATCTTCTTGGTGAACCTCCGATCCCGCACGATGCCGTCGGTGATTGTCGTATCCCCTTTTTCAGAGCCGTCTATTGCGTGGGCTCACATTGCTGGCATCTCCTCCTGAGTTGGGCCTCTCTTCTTAGAACTCGCTGTCAAGTGCCATCTTGTGAGTGTGGTTCTCGCTTTTGCAGCCGATGGCAAGTCCGCCGCTTTGCTCTGTCGGCTACATCTTGTGAGTGTGGTTCTCGCTTTCCGGCGCTATCCTTGTGTGTCTCCGTGAGTTTTTTCAACTCCTCCTTTTCTGTTGTCGTCTTGTGAGTGTGGTTCACGCTTCAGGCGCCATCCGTGCTCCAGCAGAGCCTTGGCTCTCACATCCGGCGCCCTCTTGTGTGTGTGGTTCTCGCTTCCGACTTCATCATGGGAGTGGTGTGCTCCATCTATTGCCAGCCTTGTGAGTCCTCGCCTCGGGCTCTTACTTATGGTTTTCCTATCGCTTCCAGCTCGCACAGTGATCGGGGTTTTTTACCGCTTCGGAGGCTGATGACATAGCCCGGGTCTTCTTTTTGAGTGGTACCCGCTCCACCTCAGGCACAGGCTCGACCACACCAGGCGAAAAAACGAACCTCGAAAATTCGTCCGGTGGGGATCGAACCCACGCCCTACGGCGTACCTTGTATCAGCAGGCAAGAACTATACCCACTGAGCCAAGGAGGCCGATGATGTGTGTGTGTGTGTGTGTGTGTGTGTGTGTGTGTATAGTACCAACAAATTTGTGTACATGCATGCTAGGTTTGGGCTCAATTTGAACCCAACTGGTCGCTGCGTGCGCTCAAATTGATGTAATTTCTTATTCAAATGTCTAGGAGCACTGTGAACTAATCGTGTTCGATCTGCGCACCCGAAATTGGTTTTGTGCGGATGTATGTAATTGAAAGCTTGTCTTAAAAAGCTGGAGATGCTTTAAAAATAACTTATAATGGTTAAATTTTCATAAGTTGTATACTACTTTATAAATTTTTTATAAAATTTAAAAATACCAAACACTGATGAGTTATTCAAATTATCATTTTTAATGTTTTCAGGATATATATAATACTAGCAATGATACAACATTGAAACGTTCGCTATCAAGAGTAAAGGAGTGTTTAATTCAGAATAGGCTATCAGTGTGTCAATATCAAATGGAAGAAAGTGAATCGCATTGCTTGATAAGTAAAATAAACTTATCTAATTTAAGTCGCTTAGATAATTTTACTCAAAGAGTCATCGCAACAGAATCGTTACTATTTTTATCTCAACAGTATCAATATTTTTCTCTGCATTTGAAATACTTTATTACAAGTAACCAAGATGAACTTTACTTCATTAAGTTATTTCAAGAGAACATAGATTCAGCTACAGTATTGAAGAAACTAATTTTCATTTCATTGATAATTCAATTTTTCGATAAATCAAAAGTAATGGATTTCATCAATGAAGTAGATTGGAGCATTGAACATGTTTCATTACAGTATAATAATTACGTTGACGTTGTAATACAAGTATGTATATTTGTCACTTGATTTAACATATTAAAATTATATAATAAATTATTTCCAATTATTAAATTTTTTATGAAAGGCTTATAGTTTATCACGATAGTTGTGACTTAAGTAGTCCATTATTACACGGTGCAGTTAATGCCCTAGCGTAGCGAGCCAGATAGTCCGACTTATGTCACCAGAAAACGTGCCATGAAGTGGTTTGCATCGCACTCGCTATGCTCATGTACCGAGGGTATAAATTGCTGTAAGTCGTCGCACCGCAGCGGTGCGTGACTACGCTCTGGGTGCCTGTCGGCAATTTTTATGTTGCCACTCGGCAGCGAGGGCTTTTGAAAATAAGGCGAGGAGCAGGCGCTCTACTCGGAGTCTTCCCCGAAGAGCCCCTTCAGGAGTTTCGGGTTGACTTTGACGCGACGATCAGCCTTGATCGTCGGGCGCCTCGGGCACGATGCGTTCCGGGCTGGGCTTGGCTCGTCGGCGTCGGCGGTGGCGTCGTTGGCGAGGTGGCTAAGTCGAGGACAGCCGTGGAGATGGAAGTGGTGGCCGCGGTGACTGGAGCAGCCGATGGAGAGCTGACGGCTGGCACGACCGGTGCGATGCGCCAAGGTGGTGGTCGTCGTTGAGGCGCCGGAGCAGCTGGCGGAAACACGAAAGATGAAATTACAAGTGCGATGCGCCGCGGTGGTGGTCTTCGTTGAGGCGACCGACTGCCAGGATAGTGTCCGGACTATCTTGTTTATTTGCGTATGTCTTCTAATATCGTTCTTGCCGCTGGCGGAGTTCTTTCCATGCTCCTTTCTTCTCGTTCGAGACCGGTGGTGGCATTTTCCATTCTCTTGGTGCCATCAAATTTCTCCCCAGCGTTTCTTTGATAGCCCCGTTCTGCCGATTCCTCAGCTGGAATAATATGGTCGGTAGCTGTTCGTCCTATCTGAACTGGAATTTCTGCAGTAAAAGCGCCCAGTGCATAAGCTTGTCGCGTGTGTTCTTGAACCGACGCAGCCACGTGACTGTGTGACTGTCAGTGCGTAAGGTGAATGGTCGTTGTAGTGGTATGCCGCGTCGGTGGAGGAAGCTGCTCGTTGCAGTGGTATGCCGCGTCGGTGGGCATGAACTTGGCGCTCGCTGTCGCGATGATCCGTTGCTCCGGCGGATTCGGCTGCTGGTATAATACGGCCCCCATGCCTTGTACTCGAGGCCAGCGGAACGCTCCCCTTGTTCGAAGCAGATCCGTCAGCGGCACCCGTCGTGTTGCGAGGTCAGCCAGTATTCCTGCAGCCAATTACACGCGCCGATGAATGCTTGGAGTTCCTTATTTGTACGTGGTGCTGGCGCTACTGCGCTGAGGTAGCTCGGCTTCACCTCCTTGCCGTCCCGATCGACAATTAACCCGAGGTATTCGATAGATTGCTGTTCGATGTGCAGTTTCTCCGTCAAACATAGCAGCTGGTGTACGCTCAAGCGCTCCAGCACTCGAGCAAGGTGCCGCAAATGCTCTTCCCAGCTCCTCGAGTAAACCACGATATCGTTGAGGTAGACGATGCAGAACTCGTTTAAGTAGCCGGCCAACACCTTCTGCGACATCAGCTTCTGAAATGTACCAGGTCCCCCTTTTACACCGAAAGGCATAAACCGGAACTGAAAAGCTCCCCCTGTTGGTGTCGTGAACGCTGTGTACTTTTTTGAGTCTGCGTCCATCGCAGACTGTAATATTGCATTTTCAGCAAAATTACAAAGGTTCAAAAAAGTATTAAAAATATGTTCGTCCTAGTCTTAATGGATTGAACTGTTCTGGTCTGAAATTTATATAAACTTTAGGACTTATTTTATTCACTTAAAAAAAACTGCAAAGTGATATATTATTTAAAAATTATGAAATAAATCCCAAATAACATATAATTTATATGTTTTCGATGTATGAAGAAAATTTGAATATTCATTTAATTTTCATAAAAATATATGTTTTCATTCGTAGGAACTACAAAATATAAAAGTAATTTTGTGTGACGTGCAAAATAAAGTTCCTATTACTAAAGATACTTATGACTGTATTTGGGAATGTGCAGCACAAATCATAGCTAATGTTCTAGTTGAAGGGTAAGTAAACGATTGTAAATTAATGAGTACAAAAATTTTGTTAAAAAACCGTCGTTCAGATATGAACGTGGAAAACGTTTCAAAAACGATAATAAAACTCGTTTTGAAGCTCTTATCATCGATCTCATACACAAAGGCTTAAAATTAAAAAAAAAAAAAGTTTTAGAATTGGAAAAAAATATATACAAAATTTAAGACCCCCTCCCCCCTCCTATCCCTCTCCACCCTTATAAACGTCCATTTTCTATCTATATTTTTTCTGAAGGACTGAAGCGATTAAAAAATCTGAAACACAAAAATACTTTCCAATAAACTGAACAACCTCAAATTTTTTCAGATTTTTTCAGATAGGACTCTGACGTCTAGAGCCGAAAAACGCCTTTTTTTAACGAAAATAATTTTTTTATGGCCATACAAAGCCTTGAAAAATCTGGAAAAATTTTTTTCTCGTTTTCTTCATTGAAATACATTATCTTGAATTTTTTCGAATTTTTTAATTGAAGGCAATAGCATCTATAGCTGAAAAATGCTTTTTTTATGAAAATCGATTCTTCCGGTAAAAAAATTTGAAAAAATTTTTTTCGAATTCCTTGTCAAATTTTAATTAATTTTGAAGACATTCATCACAGTTACATTATTTTTCAGATGTCTTTAGAATTTCGATTTAATCTTTGTTATGCTCTAGAATGAGCTAGGAAACTCCGATCGAAATTTTGAAATCGTAAAAATTTATTAAAATTTGACAAGGAATTCGAAAAAAAATTTTTAAATTTTTTACCGGAACCACTGGGTTCCAGGAACCGATTTTCATAAAAAATGGGGTTTTCAGTCATAGATGCTATCGCCTTCAATGAAAATATCTGAAAAAATTTATGGTTTGGATCGGTGAAAAGTATTTTCGTGAATTTTTTCAGATTTTTTAATGGCTTCAGGCTTTAAGAAAAGATATAGATAGAAAATGGACGTTTATAGGGGTGGATAGGGGTAGGAGGGAGGAGGGGGTCTAAAATTTTGGTTTTGGGACCTTTTTCCATGTTCTATAACATACCAAAAGCGCGTCAAGATCGGTGACATACGAGCGCAGGTTTATTTGAAAAATTCTGAGCCTTACCCATATATTTATTCCAATGCGATAAAATAAAAGGAAAAATTTCCGAGTTTGATTTGACTTATACCACTGAAAATATACTTTTTAAATTTTCAATAACTTTTTCTAAAGCCCAGAAGTATCTAAAAATTTTGGGAAAATTCAACGTAACTTGTTTTGTTAAAAATTACCTTCAGAAATATTTTCGGAATTTGAAATTGTAAAAGGCCCTCAGAATCAGAATTGATAGAATGTGGTGATAGAATTGGTAGAAGTAAACTGTGGGCGGAGCTTTATCAATGACTGTCGCATAAAGCGTCAATTAACTAAACGAAGAGTGCACTGCTACATTAAGTATATGGCTCTGCACTCTTAGATGAGTTCTACCGATAGAGGGCGTCCGGACGATTTCACTTCCCAATACGGAATGTGGAAGGTACGAGGAACCTTGGGGTCTAAAATCTCGGCTTTGGAACTCGCTTTTCATGTACAATCACATACTAAAAGCTCATGTAGATGGCTAACATATGTTTGCACGGTTTTTAAAAAAGTATTATTTTGACTCCCATATATTATAAATTTTTTCTTCATTTATTGTTTTTACAGATATTCAAATGCAAAAGTATGTTCAACAGGAGGAAGAGCATTAATGCAACTTGATTTTATTCAATTGACTTCTAATTTTGAATCAATTACCAACTTGAAGCCTATGCCTTACCAAGAATACGTTCTTACTTTTATTAAGGCTTTCTACTTGTCGGAAGAAAATTTAGAATCTTGGATTAAACAACAATCTGTAAGTAATTTGATATATTAATCCTTCAATTTTATTATTTGAAACTTTACGCAACAAAATTATTATATAATAACGCTATGCATCGATGATAATAGCTTAGAACCCGGGGCCTACAGGCTTAAAAAATGTCAATATGACTTGTCTATTATAGGAAATCTTATTTCACTGTGCTAAATTCGAATTATTGCTTTTATTATTAATGTAGAAATTGTATTTTCTGGGCCGTTAAAGTAAGATTGAAGGCTGATCCTACAATGCCAAGCAAGAAATTGGCTTATGTCAATGTACAGTAAGCGTAGACTTGTATTTTGAAAACGGAGACTATTTTAAATAAATAAAAGAGGATATGCATGCATAAATGATGAATAATTGATTTAGTTTCATTTTTCTAAATTTTTTAGATAACAAATAAATGATTTGAATCAATTTCACACAATTAATTATTGTTACAATTAACATTTATTAAATGATTAACTATTTTTGTAATGACTTCTTTATTTTTGGTAACCTTGATTTGATAATTTTTATCTTCGCCCAAGAAATCGGCCACTCCCAAATATTTGTTTTTGATAAGACTCCAGAATCATGGAATAAATGATTAAAACAGCAACCATTTTTTGACGCATGCCTTTTGACGGACGATCTACTAAGGGATCTAACTCTAAAAGTGCAATCATTTTAAACTTCAATTAAACGTTTTTTGTTTGCTTTTTTTTCTTTTTTCATATTTTCTTGGTCCCACTTTTTATGAGAATTTATTAAGGGGACACATACACCTTAAAATATTTTTTATTTCATTTAAACAAAAAAATAGACTTAAAATAAAAATTGATATTGGTCAACTTTGAGGAATTGAAGCCACCATTATGTCGTGTCAAAATTAGTTTTTTTTGAATATACATACGAATGCATAAAATGGACAAATTGCATCCTTCAAACTTAATGTTATAAATACTAACACCTTTATATTGAAGATTGCCACTTAGGTATGCCAATTTATGGACTAGACTAGCATTTTCTATTTCTTTGGTGAACTATCTATATATACTGTGAATTTATATTCTTGAAATTTAGCGTCAATTTGAAATATATGACAATTTTTCTCAAAGCTACTAGTTTCGAGGTCAAATAGCACTAGGGTAAAAGGGGGTATTACTGCGCACCTTTCGCATCTCTAATTCTGCAGTAGATTTAACAAAAAATAAAAATGACTTTGATATTGGTAATCATTTTTCTAACAGATGAGGGCTTCGTTGAAGCATAAAAAACGTTTTTTTTTTGGGTTTATGAGATAAAAGTATTCAAAAAATAATAAATTGTAAAAAAACCGATGCACCTATTACTGCGCGGGTGTAGGTATTACTGCGCGGGCATGTGTCTATTACTGCGCACTGAATTTTCTGTGATTACTAAGTATTTACTAAGTAATAATCATTTTCACACTTTGAAAACTAGCATATTGATAGGAAATTTCCTCAGTCATCGATTGCGACTATTTAAAAAAATCTTAAAAATAGGCTTTTTAAGATATTTGCATTTTAAACTTTATGTCAATTTTTCCCGGTGAAAATGGAAAATTTCAGAAAATCTGACCACACCGTCGAAAAGCTGAGGTAATTTCCCATCGAAATGATGGGTTCCCTTTTTTTTCTAGGTGCATTTCGATACTTTTTACGTGAGTTAGAAACTGAGTGATTTCGTTTGATTGGGCCGCGCAGACACTTGTAATGAAATGCCTTATATATATGCGCAGTAATAGGTACATACAGTGCGCAGTAATTGATACATCGGTTCAAAATACGTAACTAATTTTATTTTTCAAATTTATTGTAGAAAAATATAATTAATCAAACTAATATGGACGTATTAATTAAATAGATATACTAAGTAAGTAAAAATGATATTTGCAAACCAAATTGTCACATACGTAAAAAGTTACAAGTACTTTTCTATGGGTGTTATCGGCAATTTCTTTTGTAAAAAATAGCTAAATTGAGGAGTTCAATTTCAAATCGATATTACATTAATAAATTGATGTTTTATTGTTAATTTTTTTTTATTAATATTGTGGGAGGACAATATCTATTATTTAAAATCATTATTATTCATTAATTTACAATACAATTGTCATAAACAATCATTTTCTGGAATGCGCAGTAATAGGTGCTGCGCAGTAATACCCCCGCTTACCCTATTATAATTGGTTGATTTTCATCTACGATGATTTTTTCTACATCTAATAAATCACACTGACTCAAAAGTCCAATATTATTCTGATAAGTTATCTCTTCGAATTTTTGTACTCTATACCTAAGTTCACTCTCAATTATTCATTCTCTAGATGACGTTTTTTGGCTACAATAGTTGATTGCTGTATCTTTCTCTTTTTAGCTATTTCATCTTCACGATTAGCGTTACGTATAGATATTATCCATACGTAATTTATATAGTAGGGCTCTGCGAGTATCCGATTTTTCAAGTTTTACTCGACTCGAGTCGAAAAAATTCGAATACTCGAGTTTTTTCGAGTACTCGAACTTTTCCGAGTACTTGAGTTTTTTCGGGTACTTGAGTATTTTCGAATAATCGAGTTTTTTCGAGTACTCGTCATTTATTTCAGTTTTAAATAAGTATAAATGACGAATTAATTGTATGTTGTTTTGTCATATTAATAAAGAAACATACATATAAGTTGATAATAATTTAACGCCATTAATTTTTTTGTGGAATCTTGAAAATTAAAGATGCAGCAGTAGAGGAGGATCGAAAATTATAAATTCCAATTTTCATATAAAAAGGATATCATTTCAGCATTTTCCGTATTCAAGCTGGCTCTATTAGAAGTTATTATTTTTCCAGCATGAGAAAAACAGCGTTCACTGCTTGTGGAAGTCGAAACGATACCAAGAATATCCATTGCTAACGAACTTAATTTTGGAAACTGCGATGCATTTTTTTCCCACCACGAAAAAATGCATTCTCGCATTCCAATGCAAGGTGCTTCGAGGTATCGTTGTAGTTCCGTCCGGAAATCTAGTTCTTCGTTATTTATTTCCCCTTCTGACGCTAGTATTTTTCTGGCAATTCGTTTTTCGAAGTCTGTTAAGTCGTCTGTAATAAAAAAATGACATAAGTAATGCGCAATTTTGAAAGAATGAATAATTAGATTTTGTATTGAATTGTATGTACCATCTTGCCTTTGATGTCTAATATTATTACCCGTCGTAATGTATGATCGATTGATGTAACTTTCCATTACTTCTTTGATTCGAATAAGTTCTTCTCTACCTTCTTCGAAAAGCTTATTTTTAAATTGCGGATTGAGTACCATTGCAAGCCATAATGTATCATTTTGCAGATATACATTTAATCGCTCCTTTAAAATAAATTGAAAATCGATTAGAACGAGAAAGAGAGAAATAGAGTAAAAATAATTTTATAGAAAAAAATTAACTTACAGAAACGCTTTCGCGCAGCTTCGTGAGAGAATCTAGATACATTCCAGTGGAAAATAAAATTTCAGAATCAAGTTGTTCTATTAAAACTGTTACGATCGGAATGATTTTTGCGACTGTGCAATATTTTTCGCCACTCATCTTTGTTGTAGCCTCTTTAAAAGGCTTGAATAATTTGATATAAAAATCGATCAGCTCAAAGTTAGATGACGTCAATCTTGGAATATTTTTGTATTCATTCCAAACACCTTCTAGGGAAACTTTTAATTGTTGTATGCGCTTCAGTATATCGTAGCATGAGTCCCATCGCGTTTTACAGTGCTGAATGAGACGTAACCGCTCTTCCTCGGTCAACCTTTTTTGATAGGCATCCAGCAACTCAGAAGACTTTGTTGACCGTGCAAAGTGACCAACGACTGAGCTGCATTTTTCGATTAGTTCTTTTAAATTTTCAATTCCAGATTTACAATCATCTACGCAGAGTTGTAACGTGTGTGCAAAGCACGGCAACATCGTCCAATTTGGCTCGATTTCTATTGCACGTTTCATATTGGCTGCATTATCTGTCACCCAAATGACTCTTGTCTTGTTCGAAAAATCAATGTTCCAATCTGATAGAACTTCTAACAAGTGTGAATGAATGTTGATACTAGTATGTGCACCACATAGCTGTTTGATGCCATAAGTGATGTTCTGCGGTTTGAAAGATGCATTCAAATAGTGTAGGGTGACTGATACATAACCGTCAGTAGCTATCGATGTCCAACCATCTGTAGTAAATACCAACGTACGTACTTCTATAAACATTTAAAATTAAATATTAGATTTTATATTAAAATATTAGATTTCATATTAAATATGAATATAACTTTGATACCTTGAAGATCGATATCAATCTTTGAACGAAGACGTAATTCTTCCTCTTTATAAATGGCAGGAATAATACTACGTGAAAAGGTCGTACGTGATGGCATAATGTAATGAGGTTCAATCGTTGTCATTAAATGTTTAAATCCTTTGTCTTCGACAATGCTGAAAGGTTGCATATCCTTACATATCACATATGCAATAGCCTCCGTAATCGATTTCGAACGCCGAGAGTCCCTGTCAAGCGGTTGCACATTTGTATTCGATCGAACGGATTGATTGGTCTTTGAATCTTTTTGGTGAAGTCTGTAATGGTTGTGTAAAGCTGTAGTGCTTCCTTGACTTATTTTTAATTTTCTTCCACAAATATAACATTGGGCTTTTTTTGCACGTTTTCCGCGTTTTTGAATTTTTTGAAAATGTGCCCATACACTGCTTCTCGCCCTTTTCGCGGGAGGCTCATCGGATAGTGACGTCGCAGCAATGCTATTTTCAAGCTCTTCAATGTCTACATTACAAAACATTTGCAAATTGGTTTTTATTATCTTATAAATACGGACGTAGCAAAAAACGTATAGAATTAAAAAAATGAAGTTCTACGAAGTTTAAATCGTTAATGTTCAAATGTAGAATTAATAATCATAAGATGATAGCAAAAAGTAAAAAAAAATAGTAAAACAATAGCTCGTATTCAATGTCATTACTTACGCATGTCGGATATAGGTAAAGTATCGTTGGACGACATATCGTTGAAGAAAAATTATAAATTCTATCAAAAATCTCGAGGAGCTTTTTTGTTCTGATCGGATCAGTCGTCACTGTCGAACTGAACGTCTAACGCATAGCGTTTGTTAATACGAGCTGTAGATCATTTGTAACGTTTTTTTCAAATTTGAATTTTCGTTCCATTCAGCTCTGTTCTAAATTAACACGGTTTTATTTTTTGTTGAAAATATATTTTTACATAAACTAATAGTTAATGTAAAAACACCAATTTTTTATTATTAACTATAGGTTTTGAGAGAATAATAAAGACCACTCTTTTGGTAAGATTTTATTATTTACAGAGATCATTTTTCATTTGGACGTATAATGTAAGAATAAAAATCAATTGAAGCATAAGTAATTCTGATCTGATATCAACATTTTTTCAATAAGTTTATATTTTTTGAATTTACACATTCATGAAATAATACAACGTTAGTCAACAATTATATCGGTACAGTATGGTACATTACGTATTCAATTTTAAGTATACCGAATATATTCTTGTTAGAACCAAATTTCTTGTTTTCTTTTCTTAGGCTAACAATTTCTTAAATTAACATACATATTCATACAATGTGAGAGATAAGTTTTCATGGATTTATAATAAGCAATAATACGCGACAATAAGCATCATTAAAACATACTTTTCCAAATTTTCAAAGAAATGAATGAAAATTAAAATGAAAAAAATATGACAAATATTTCTGAATATTTCCTGACTTATTAAAAGATTTAGTTCACAAACATAGCAACTGATATACAGTTAAAAATTTAGAAAGAAGTGTATAATTGGATTTAATGTTTTCATTGACTAAATTGATTTTCAACTTAAATAAATTTTGATTTATATTTACAAAAACCATTAATACATGAATAATATTCATATATTCATTGAATAGGTTAAAGTTCTGCTTAAATATTCTAAATTTTTAACAAATGCGTAATTCTGATACAGAATGAGCCAAAAAATATTCCTTCATGTGAAATGTATTTTTTGTGTCGCTTCTAGTCTTGCTTAGATTGCAGCAATACTTGACACTGAAGTTATGTCTATGAGCATATCTTGTATCTTATTTAATAATTCTTGCAAATTGATTCCACTGTTTCCACCTGTACAACAATACAAACAACACAACATTATGAAAAAAAATATATTTAAACGTATTTGTATAGTTTACAATTTTGTTTAAATTTTAAACTTAATGTTTACCTAGCATGTCTTTTTTCAATATGTGAAGGTGAAGATCTCATTTTTATATTATAAGTTGATGAGTTGACAGATTGCTGGTTACTGCAAGGTCTGAACTTAGAAAAAAATGGTTATCTTCTTATGGTTTCTGACGGATCGCTTGACTATATTTAATGAGAGGATGAGAAAAAATAAATAACCCAAATTGAAATTTAATAGTGAACCGATGATTTAAAAAAAATACTTACAAGAACTTTATTCAGTCTTCATACTGTCCAGCTCTATCAAAAGTAATTCTGCGTTATTACTGGTATCCACTATCCACTGCATCAATTGTACCATCAATTGTAAGAAAATGCTGGTCATCATCTTCTGGGTTTTCTTGTCATATGCTTTATCTGATCCAACTTGATTTGAGTTAATTTATGAGTCGTTAGTTGTGAAAATCACTTACTGGTTTAACAGGCGTTGCATCATACTCACTGCAGCTTTTTCCAATAATAATAATTGATTTACAAACAATCTAAAATAGAAAACTATTCGACAGAAATCCTGCAAAGTCGAATAGTTTGGTTAAGTATGCGTGTGACTTGAACACAACTTGCTTACAAACATAACCATACACTGCTTCAAGCGTTCGATGTGAATATAACTATTAGTCTCAATAGGGCGTTTTCAGATTGTCACAAAATGGTTACTTTACTGATGTGACTGGAGGAATAACAAACAAAGTGTTGCGGGTTAAGTAAATGAAAGACCTTGTTTGATATCCCTCCAGACAAATCAGTAAAGTGACCATTTTGTGACAATCTGAAAACGCCCTATAAACTCAATTGCGAGGCAGTCATTCAAAATATAAATTTAACTGTGGTCGTTTAAACTCGAATTTATGCGATGCAATATAACATGTATTCACACTGATAAACGTTCCTGCATCGACACAGCATTCTGTGATCAAACGGAGCGCGATATACGCTTCTTGATTAGAATGAAAAGAGCGAAGCTCATTGAAAGTACATGTTATGAGCTGTGATCGGGCGATCAATGGGCGAAATTAAAATAATAGGTTGATAAGAATTTCACGTGTACACAGGTTCATAAGTTCCATGCACAAATGTATAATATATATGACGATCGCTGCAAATATCACACTTATCAGCATGTACACGCAAAGGGGGCGGGTTTACGTACTGTTAATTCGTCATTTATACTTACTTAAAACTCAAATACATGGCCAGTACTCGATAAAACTCGAGTAATCGAAAAAAACTCGAGAATTCGAAAAAACTCGAGTACTCAAAAAATCGAGTACTCGAAAAAACTCGAGTAATCGAAAAAAACTCGAGTATTCGAAAAAACTCGAGTACTCAAAAAATCGAGTACTCGACTCGAACTCGAGCAAAAAACTCGAACTCGACGAGTCGAGTTTTTTCGAGTACTCGCACAGCCCTAATATATAGTATGCAATATATAGTAAACACACAATACTATATAGTATAGAATGATTGAGTATGGTAAATGTTTGTAGTACAATTGTAGTACATTTTAGATATTTATATGGAATAATTTGTATTCACTGAATTCACTGAAGATATGTGCACGATTCAATCAATAATATAACCAAATGTGGCGCTGAAATAATTTAAGTATAAACAAAACACTTTACAGAAGAGTGCCGAGCAAGAGTTCAGTCGAAACCCGTGACGATGCACAGCGTTGCGCTCTCATACGAACAAAGAAGGAGAAGATTGAACGTATTCAATATGCCCTCCCCCTGTTCAAGCATTTCCAGATACACCAAATTTCTTTCGAAGTAGATGAAACTTTTCATATGCTAGTGGCTTTGTTAATATATTGGCATACTGATACCTTATTGGAACTTGCACTATTTTAATATCGCTAGACTTGACCCTTTCGCGAATAAAATGAAACCGTGTCTCAATGTGTTTCGAATTACGTATACTGGTTGGGTACTTAACTATGTGATTGCCCAAATGTACAAGCTGATCGGAAAGTTCCTTTCACGCTTCACAGCCCTGTAGCTAAGAAAATTCTGAGTCGAAAGTTTCTTTGCAGTTTTTTTCTATTTTCAATATTAAGGGAAGGCTCTCATGAGACTAGATCAAAAAATCGATTTTTGTTTGCTTATTTAGTTAGCAAAGTGACCCGTAGATTACACCCCCGAAACCTTTTTTACCAAAATCGATTTGGTTAAAAAGTTAGAGGCAAAAAACCTCAGCTGTCTTTTTATGAGCGAACGATGTATGTATGTATGTATATGGGTAAGGCTCAGAATTTTTTAAATAAACCTGTATGTCACCGATCTTGACGCGCTTTTGGTATGTTATAGTACATGGTGAAAAGGTCCAAGAAACAACATTTTAGACCCCCTACCTCCTCCTACCTCCCACTTCCGGTATAAACGTCCATTTTCGATCTATATTTTTTTTTTTAGGACATGAAGCAATTAAAAAATCTGAAAAAATTCATAAAAATACTTTTCAAAAATCCGAACAACCTTGAATTTTTTCAGATTTTTTGAGTGCTTCAGGAATTCGGATAAAATCATTCAAAATTCTGAAAATCGAGATACGGCGATATGAGCCGATGTAGAACTCAGACATTTTTTCAGTTTTTTTTCGCATTGAAAAACATGACCTCAATTTTTTTCAGATTTTTTCAGATTACCTAACGCACCTTTTGAAGCAAAAACCGTTTTTCTCAATGAAAATAATTTAGGACGGTACGGAGCCTCGAAAAATCTGAAAAAAATTTTTTTTTGTTTTTTTCATCAAAGTACATAACCTCAAATTTTTTCAGATTCTTTAATTGAAGGCATTAGCTTCTAGAGCCGAAAAACGTTATTTTTAACAAAAAAGGTTCCTGGAACCCGATGGTTCCGGTAAAAAAATTTGAAAAATTTTTTTTTGAATTTCTTGTCAAATTTTAATAAATTTTGACCATTTCAAGTTTTCGATCGAAGCCTCTTAGCTCAATCTAAAGCATCAAAATAGTTTTATCATTCCTTAATGCTTCAGAAACGTTTTCAGAATTTTGCATTAATCTTTGTCCTGCTCTTCGGACTGCTGCTGCTTAGACCTTTTTACCATGTACTATAACATACCAAAAGCACGTCAAGATCGGTGACATACGTGCGCACAGTTTTGTAAAAAAGTATTATTTTGACCCATGTATATTCGCTTTCTAAAACTTTAATCGCGTTTTTCTCGAAACCGCGTTTTCTGAATCGGGCGCCAAGATATCTAAAAAGTACCGCACTCAAAGTTACACTTTTTATTTTATTTGAAAGCTAATTAAGGGCTTATATATACCTTAAAATCACCTAATTTTAAAATTTACCAAAATATAAGTAAAAATTATATTTGGTAAAATGGAAAATTTCTCCTGTTTTTCAACCCTTTTTTCATCCAGAAATTACTCTGACATGGCCTAAATTAACTCCAAAACAGCCTAGTTTGTTGGAGCCTTGGCTATGGCCGCTACTACGGGCCACAGTTTTGATAAAGTATTTCTATACTTTTAATAATTGAAACCACTTTTTTTAATGAATTTTTACCCATTTTCTTGTAATTTTCTGGGTAGTTAGCTTATAGAAAGACCTACAGACGTCCAAACATCTTCCCTGTAGTAGCGGCCATACCCACACATGTGCTGAAGAAGCCCTTGCAACCTGGACCCTGTTGGGCAATCACTTCTCTTGGAATCTTACGAGAAAAGGGCCATTTTGAGCAAAAATACAACTTTCCAGGATAAGCGATTGAAGAAAATCTTGCAAATATTCTTGTTGAATCACTATAATAAACTTTATCACTCCTAATAATTATTCTAGGCTAAGAGAACATTCAATTTTAATTTTGTTCTATATTGCCATGTCACCATAGAGCCATGTCGCATAACCCATAATTAATTGTAGTATTTATTATATTCAGAAGCCTAATTGATAAAAATACAAGTACTGAGACTGAAATTATATTTCAAAGCCGGATTGACTCATGTGGCAAGATACAAGAAAAAGATAGGCTCAACTCAAAGAAGACTTGATGAAATAACTATTATGATTAGAATTAGAACCCAGTTGAAAAAAATTGCATGGATATCCACGTGGAAATCCACGAGGATTAGTAATCCTCGTGGACCATACAGGGATTCCACGTGGATCGTACAGGGATTCCACGTGGATCATACAGGGATTCCTCGTGGATCGATCATGGGCTGAAAAAATGCAATCACCACGGATATTCGACTGATCCACGCTGATTTTTTTTCAATCCTCGTGGATGTGGAACTTGTTCTCGAGCACGCGCTCGAAACATCCGTGAGGATTTGCGGCGAATCACCACGGATTTTCGACTGATCCACGCTGATTTTTTTCAATCCCCGTGGATCGATCGAAAATCAACGAGGATTTCCGTGCAAATCCCCGTGGTTTACGTACGTGGACTCTTTATATGATCCATGTTCGATCCACGTGGAATCAATGTCCCATCCTCAAGGAATCCCTGTATGATCCACGTGGAATCAGCGTGGATAATCCACGTGGATATCCACGCAAATTTTTTTCAACTGGGAACTAATAAAATAAAACAATCACACGTGTTATTTGAAAAATGTTGAACTTTATTTGAGAATTTACTTTGAGAACACACTGTAAATTGTATTGTACATAATCTTTGCATAAGAATTGTACACTATCTCACTGTGTATTCACTTTTTGATCAATTTCATACTTGGAACTATTTACTATTTTTAGCAACAAAACTTCATTGCACTTTATTTGAGAATTCACTTTGAGAACACACTTTTAGAATTGTACATAATCTCACTGTGTATTCACTTTTTCATAAATTTTACACTTGGACCCCTTTTAACAACATACTTTACTGCACAACTAAACAATATATTAACACACAATGACTTCAGCTTTATTGAACTTCTGATCCTCTTCTGCTAAATAACATGGAGTTTACTGTGTAGTACATGAAATTCAGTGTTTACAATTATGTGTTCTATGGTGAGCACGAGACGATTTTTTCCCTAGTTGATTCTACTTAGCCATTTCCAGCAAGAAACTAATACACTTTTCGATTTTTCAATTTTTCGTAAAGTCGTTTTTTGGGATAAAGTTGTATTTTTTTGCATTAAAATAATTTCAAAGTGTATACTAATTTATACCATTGGATTTGTCATAAAAAATCCTAAATTTTGGTGGTGTCAAAAAATTTTCTAGATTTTTTCTGTTCATTTGCCACTCGATCGAAAATGAACTTTGTGGAATTTGCGAAAAAGAACGATCGAACAAGTGTATTTTTTTGAATGAAATTGTGCTCCTAGGTCAAAACTGACTACGGCATTCGATTTTGCAGACAAAAACACATAAGAAAATGTATTGCCAAGATTATTTTTACCCTCTAAACAGAGTTTGAAATAAATCGAATGATAGCCCGATATTGCTTCTTTTTTGGAGCACGTTTTTAAACTTCAAAACCCGATTCCATCGACACCATCTAAAATCATTTTTTTGAGTTCTAGTTTACGAGAAAATTCATTTCAAACCTGAAACTTTCTGATTCCGATGGATCCCCCGAGATACAAAAAATTTTTGAAAAAGTGGACCACCCCAGTAGATACGTTTGTGAAAAGCAGATGCCTTTTAAATTGAAGTATATAAGACAAGTTATTCTAATTGCCTCGAGACAGACGTTATTTGTAATCCCTACACTCACCCTATCTATGGGCTTTATTTATTCAAACCACTCACGATAGAAAGTCACATGACAAAAAGCGCTGCTATTAGTCAGCCAGATCACTTACATCTGACGAAATTGATTCTTGTTTGTACTCATAGGTAGAGTTAGCTTCCAGAATTGGTAACTCTGATTTGTCGATGCTGGCCATGAAGCCACCAGTAACAATTAAGTAAATCTTGTACCGGCTGAGTTTGAAATCGAATCACTTGAGTATTGGTTTTTCTGACTTTGATGACGATTGTAAGAACTCGCAGAATTATATTGGCGCTTTTATACTTTAGCTAAATAACCTTTTTTGTTACAATCGTATCATCTTGGCTTAGAATTCATGGTAATTGCATTTAATGAAAAATATTGTTATTCATTAATTATTTGCAAACGGTGAAATTAATAGATACTGCATCATAAGTTTTTTATTCCAAATTATTTTTATTTTTTATTCCAAATTATTTTTCGCTTAGCCTTAGCAACATCCGTTGCCACTAGTACTTATTCGGTGGGCCCTTGGCGATTTTATTTCTTGCAAGAGTCTCCAAAACTGTCTTGTTAACATCTTTTAATTACGCCGCCACATTTTCTACTCTATAAAAATCATTAGTGTGACTTCATATCTGATATCAAATCTGATATAAGTTCTGGTGAACGCCCATCAGATCTTATGCCAGATCTTATGTCAGAATTTCCATACGATAATCGACATTAGAACCTACATCAGATCTGATATCAGATTTAATGTCAGATCTGAAGTGACTGTGACCCCTTTAATTATTTAAACAATAAGTTTATTAATAATTAAAATTTAATAACATATCTTAAACAATAAAAGTTATTGAATTAATTTAAATTCACTTTATCAAAAACATAAACATTGGAGGAATTATTCTTTAAGATATTATCAATATGATCATTAAAATACAACGAAATTTATTATTAAATTTAAATTATTAATAAATTTATTGTTTAAACAATTAGAAGCGATACAGTCATTTCAGATCTGACATTAGATCTGATGTCAGATCTGATGTAAGTTCTGATGTCGATTATCGTATGCAAATTCTGATATAAGATCTGGCATAAGATCTGATGTGCGTTACCCAGAACTTATATCAGATCTGATATCAGATCTGCAGTCAGATCTAACATACCATTTTCACCTGAGTACACAGTTCCCGCATTTTCATGTCTGTAGCGCACGTCTGTAGTGTTTCCAACTGCTTATCGAAATTATGGCCCTTGCCTTGCTATTTTTCATATCCCATTCGGCAGCTTTGACTGCCTCTTTTCCGTTCGGTCAGAACGGAATTCCAACAGCTTATAATTATTACAGAATGCCGCAGGGGAATAAATTTGTATGTAACTCTCCTCAAATCAGAGGATACCTTCATATGAACTGAAAAAACTCATTTTTATCTTTTAATTGTGGCCCATACAATAAAATTATTTAAACATATGAGCATAACATCTATTTTCAAAAAATACTATATTATTATATAAGAATTACGATATTGTTAATTTTCATGAATAATTCCATCTTTTACTTTTTAATATCTTAAAAACTATTATCCCTAATTTAAAAATAATTAAAAATTTTTTCTTTTTAGGATTATTCTCGTAAGCACATAATTGGATTAATCACCTCAACTATTCAACACAAAAAATTACGACAAAAGTTTTTAAACTTAGTTGAAGATAGATATTCATCAAAAGGATTTTGCTAACTAAAAAGCTTGGATATTTTTACCATTAATATTGATCAAATATAATACTTATAGAAAAATATGAGTTTCAGTTATTTCCTGTTATGAGCAAATTAATCAAGAGATTAATTGTATGTAAATTTTTTTATGAATATGACGTATTCCACGCTCGACCAGACAGTGCGCTCGCGCGGGGTATTTTTTAATGTATTGCAACTTTTCTAAATCATCGTAGCTGCCGCAATTGGGCTTAAAAAAATATTGCGCTTTCCACTGGTCATATCTGTTTTTCAAAATAGCAATTTTTGATACAAGGACCATAAGTAACACTCTTTGGCACGGCGTAGTTTAGGGACCGAGCGTAGCGAGGGTCCTAATAGCTGGACCGAAAAGTGTCCCCTATGGCCCGAGTATCGAACAACATTTTATAGTATTGTGCAAAGTTCACATTTATGCCCCCTTTTCCGAGTCATGAGTCACACTTTTGGTAGTGCGAAGTGAGGTTAGCGCACAAGTGCATGCGAGTGTGATGCAAACCCAGGTGAAAATAGTATGTAAGATCTGACTCCAGATCTGGCATCAGATCTGGTATAAGATCTGACAAATATACACCAGATCTGACATCAGATCTGATACCAGATCTTGTATTCGATAATCGACATCAGAACTTATATCAGATCTGACATCAGATCTAATGTCAGATCTGAAGCGACTGTAATGCCTTCAATTATTTAAACAATAAGTTTATTAATAATTAAAATTTTATAATAAATCTTAATAATAAAAGTTGTTGAATCAATTTAAATTCACTTTATCAGAAACCTAAATATTGTAGGAATTTTTCTTAAAGGTATTATCGGTGTGGTTATTAAAATATAACTAAATTTGTTATAAAGTTTTAATTATTAATAAAGTTATTGTTTAATTAATTAAAGGCAATACAGTCACTTCAGATTTGACATCAGATCTGATGTCAGATCTGATATAAGTTCTGATGTCGATTATCGAATACAAGATCTGGTATCAGATCTGGCGTACATTTATCAGATCTTATACCAGATCTGATGCCAGATCTGGAGTCAGATCTGACATACTATTTTCACCTGGGAACGCAGCGGTGCCAGAATGTGCGACTTATGCTACAGAAAAGCGTGTCATAAATGTGAACTTATGCCATACAGTACTATAAATAACATTTATTATTCTTGTACGCAACATGCGTTTAAATATGATTAATTAATTTTGGTCGCGTCAAGCGCTAAACAGTATTTTTCAATTTTAGACACAATTTTAGGCGCAGCATGCGATAACTAATACTCGTACACTGAGGCGTAACAAGCGCCAAATCATAATAGTTATACATTTCGGACTCAGCTGGCGTTAAATAATATTTATAACTTTTGAGCTCCCCAAGCGCTAACTTATTATACAGATACTTAATAACTAAATTACTTTACTGACTAAAAAGGTTCAACAATCAATTCAAAATTATTTATCGAAAGTTTAAGAACCTTTTATTAAATCGACCGTCCCTACGAAGACAATCACTCATGCGAATGCGGTCAAAAAAATCTCTCTTAGAAATCGGCGGCGAAAAAAAAATCTCTTTCAAAGAAGCGGTCAAGAAAATCACTCTAAAAAATCTGCGATTAAGAAAATCTCTTCAAAAAAATAAAAAAAAAAACTAAAAAAAAACAAAAACAAAAAAAATAAATTTTTGGAGAGATTTTCTTGACCTCATCTTCGAAAGAGAGTTTTTTTTCCGCAAGTTTTCAGGAAAGATTTTTTTGATCGCGCTTCACTGGAACGGTGATACTCTTCGTAGGGACGGTCGAAATGTAATTGTCCATTAACCTATACTGCTGTAGTCCGGGCTAGCGTAGAGCTCGACGACACCGACGAGCTGAGGATCTTTTAGTGCCTCACGGTGTAGAGCCGTGAGGACTTTGGTGTTACTCCCTACCTACGTTTCCGTAGTAGGGAGAGCTTCGTCGGTGGGGGCTTCTTGGGCGCGCTGCTTCCTGGCTGCGGGTGTTTCGCCAGGAACAAGGCCAGCTGACGGTGGGTAGCCTGCCTCCGCTGCTCTCGCTCGGCCTCCTGAGGTAGCAGTGGCGTCTGCGCGCCGTCTAGTTGAGCTCTAAAACGTTGAGGGTCCACGCCGCGGAAGCGCGGGTCGAGTCGCGGGGTCCGAGGTGGAGGCGGCGTGTCCAAGCGTATTAGTCGCCACGCCGGTGGAGGAGATCCGCTTAGATCCGCAGACTGCGCAGCTGTTTGCGGCGTCGAGGCAGGGGCGCTCCGCTTCGGTGATGGTCGTGGCGTCGGCGCAGCTCGCAGATAGCTTCGCAGTCTCCGGTCAGCGAGATGTAGCAGGATGCGTTGGTGGACCTGTAGCTCCTTGGCGGCGGCGATGTTTTCCTGGTAGGTGGTGGCGGACGGCGGCGGCTCCGGTCTGTCGTCTTGGTGCACTGTAGGCAGAGGTGGCATGGGAGGAAAGGGGTAGCGGACAGCTCACCGAATAAACAACTCAGATTTATTCGGATCCAAAAGCTCGAATTTTATTTAATCTCCTTTTCGAATCGGAGCGAGTTCGATTTCACTCGTCCGATGGGCCTCTATATAAGCCTACAACTCATCTTTCTTGATTGCGGGTTTCAACCTCGCCCTCTAGCGGTGCAACTTAATACTAACATAACTTTATTTACAATTCTCCGGAGAGTGACATCTGCAGAGGTCAAATCTTAATTTATATCAATACCTTTCGCGTTTCGCGCTCGCTACCCCTCGGCTGCATTTGTATTCGATCTTTGGCGCTGTGCGCATTTCGAAAATTAAAAAGTAACCCCTGTGACTTAAATTTTGCAATATGATTTACAACAAACTCCTTAACGTTAAGGTATGAAATCCCTGTAGTTTAAATCTTGCAATATGATCTACGACAAAGTCTTTAACTTTAAGGAATGAAAACCCTGGTCAAGAGTCATCATCAAGATTATGCAATGATAGAGTGTGTGTTGATGAAAGGTACGAAAATGAATATGTCGAACTTGGTGCAGAGTTAGAATGGAGGAAACTTAAGACACCGAAAGCAACGAAAGCTTCCGATGTCAGGGTAGTCAGTATCAATCTTGTAAATTACTCCACCAGATTTCGTAATTGATAATAAACCTCGTCAGAACGAGCAACGATGGCTCGTTCATTCTCAGTATTTACAGCTGAACTAAGATGCACAGCGATCCGTGGGGGAAGCCGTAGCCTTCAAAATTGCAAAATTGCATCTCTGTCCAAAACTGAACCACCAGCTCCATATAATGTGTCGAGGAACTCAGATGGTCGCTTGTTACAATGCCGCCCACTGAGCGAATCATAAAATCGATTCATGAGAGCTTTGGGATGTTCGATATATTTACGTATAAGAATATTCGTCAAAAATTGGTATCTGTTGGCTATTGGCGCTGCTGTACCTTTGGCTGTTGACTGCGTTGATCCATTTGTTCTTAAAAAACTTGCATTTTTTCCATACGTACGCAGAGCTTTTGCGAAAATCGAGACCTTCCACGAATTTGACGAAGTTGTCTCTCTTCTTGCACTTTAACATCCTTTTAAACCCTGCACAGCGCTTTTTGTCTGTTATAAGATCCTGCAGTTCGACGGAGAAGTTGAACCTCTTGAGTGCTGCCTGTCTCAGCCTTTTTTCTCGGTCGTAGTCCGCGTCCCACCAGGGTACGGGGTTAATGTGATTACGTCTGGGGACAGAGGCACTTTTTGGAGTGGATGCTCTCGCGCTTTTACGACTGTTTCTTAGAAAATAGCGAACTTCTCGGCTGGGCCTGATGACTCGTATGCGGCCGTAAAGAAGCAGCCCCAACTCGCGCTCAGCCTCTCGAAGACCTTGTCCCAATCTGTGCGAATCGAGTTGATTCTATGCCTTTTCTGACGATGACAGTGCCTCTCGATGCTCACGTTGACAAAGATCGGGTAATGATCTGAGCCCCACGAGTCATCGCAGACTATGTCTACGCGATCATGTAATGTATAAATAATAATTAGGCGTATTTATTAAAAAAGGCGCCAGTCACGATAGTGACGCCTAATAATACAAAATACAAGAAAGCTAAGAATTACAAATGTGCGATAATTGTTCGCTCAGCACGAAACATTCACCCGTACAATTATAACAACGACGGTCGTGAGTTTGGGCTAGGCGGGGACAAGACCGAGAGAGATCGAGCGTGTTGAAAGATACAATAATATAGCGCATATGCAGGAGAGAATCGAGAGACTTACATTCGTTGACTCTATGGTTTATTGGTGGTTGATTGGGCCTGACGAAGACTGCAAAAATAGCGAGGGCAGACGAGAAGGCAGCCAGATGTTGATGCTCTCCAGGAGGGCAGACTCACTCTCACACACGCTGGCCATCGCAGGTCCCACACGAGAGGGATCGGTAGCTCGAAGCTATTTCACGCGAGGTCCAACACAGAGTGTTTGCTTCATCAACTCCTCGTCGGCTAGTCAGTCATCATAGGCCTCCCTTTCCACTTGACAGGTTTTCGTCTGCTCATAAGGCAGCACGCGCAAGACCCGTCTACGCACTTAGCATTGATCACGGCTCTCTCTCTGCAAATTCGGCGCTTATTGATAAATTGGCGCCGATCCGCACTACCACTAGGCTCGCTTATTTCCGATCTCTCTCTCGGCGGAAGGGATTCTAGGATAGAATATAAAGGAAGGAGTACCGTCGGACCCTGTGCTGGTCTACTTCCTTACAAGGAAACACTACACTCTTATACATACGCCTTTGAAGAAATCAGGTGGCAAGAGTGGAACGGCTAAACAAGCGCAAGATGAACTGTCCCCTGTCGATAAGAGCTCGTCTTCGATGCAAAGCGTAATGGCTACAGTCTCTTCCGAGGTAGAGGGAGAGAGCTTGGAAGCCTTGCTCGCTACTGCTCGAATCCGAGTCTCTGCGCCACAAGGACAGTTCACTACTGTTCGGGCTCTCGTGGACCAGTGTGCTCAGTCTTCTTTCGTTACTGAAGAGCTTTGTCAGCGTCTACGATTGAAGAAACGGCAAGTAAATGTGCCTATATCTGGCATAGGGTGAGGGCGAGATAGTACCCGAGCCGAGGTCGAAGTATCAATCCGACCTCATTTTCGATCTCCCTTTAAGCTAACGTTTAAAACTTATGTTTTGCCGTCAATCTCGAGTTGTCAGCCTTGTTGCAAAGATCCCCGAGAGTGGACTCACATAAGCGGACTACAATTGTCTGATCCTTATTTTGCTAGTCCTGGTAGGATCGACGTATTACTCGGCACGCAAATTCACGCTCGAGTCGTAGAAGAGGGATTGATAAAGGGAGGCGATAACTATCCTATCGCGATGAAGACTCAGCTGGGTTGGATGTTATCCGGTAGCGCAGAAAAATCAACGCGAAGCGGCACAGTTATGTTTGCAAGCTGATGATCGCATGAGTGAACAATTGAGGTCCTTCTGGGAAATAGAAGAGCCTTCACACGTTACACCGTGGTCTGATAAAGACAAATTATGTGAAACGCATTATAAAAAATATATAGTGCGTCTTCCAGATGGACGTTATCAAGTCAAGCTACCTCTGAGAGCCAACGCTCCGACTGATTGGCTCAACTCTTGCCAGATAGCTCGTAGTTGTTTGTTATCGCTCGAAAGGAAATTGAGCAAAAACCCTTTATTGTATGCAGAGTAAAAAGCTAGTATCGAGCAAATAATCAAGGCTGATCAAATGAGAAAAATCGAAATCCAGCCACAAAACTACGGAAAGCACTATTTTCTGCCTCATCACGCTATAGTGAAGGACAGTAGCACAACTACTAGAGTAAGTCCTGTGTTTAATGCTTCAGCTCGCAACTCTGCAGGACATTCATTAAACGAACATCTAATGACTGGCCCGAACCTGTTACCGCAGATCGTACTTACGCTAGAGCATTGGCGTAGCTACCCCATCGTATTCTTAGCAGATGTGTCAAAGATGTACCTGCAAGTGCGATTACATCCTGAAGACTGGCGACTACAGACGTTGCTTTGGCGTGATGATCCGCTTAAAGAGATGGAAAATTACGTACTCATTATGGTCACGTTCGGCTCGGGTCCGTCTGCGTTCCTGGCCAATCGAACACTCAGACAGTTGGCAGAGGACGTGGGAGAGAAATATCCTTTGGCAACGCCTATAGTACGCCAAGAAATGTATATGGACGACGTATTGTCCGGCGCTTTTGATATAAAAGTTGCAATGCAAAAGCGCGATCAATTAGATGCTTTGTTCTCGGCTGAAGGTTTGACTTTGGCCAAGTGGATGACAAACGATGATCAAATGCTTCATTCGTTCGGCCCGGACTCTCTGGCTAAGGAATCGACATTGAAAGTGGGTCTCGGGTTTTCTGTACTTGGCTTGGTCTGGGAACCTCGGACAGACGTTTTTCAATTCAATGTCTCGATAGAGCCTTTGACGAATCCAATCACGAAGCGTAAGGTTTTGTCGTGTATCGCCGGAATGTTTGACCCTTCGGGCTGGATAGCCCCGGTCTTGATCTCTATGAAAATATTCATGCAATCGCTCTGGCTTTTGACTAAAGAGTGGGACGCTCCATTGCCTGCGTCTGAAGTCGAAAGATGGCGAGCTTTTGAGAATGATTTGCAAGTATTAGCAACGATTGTTATACCAAGATGGACGGGCATTCTGAGCGATGCTTATCTTGAACTGCACGGCTTCGCTGATGCCTCGAAATTTGCTTATGCAGCAGTGCTCTATGTCCGCGTTTTCTATGACGGACAAGCGAGAATCACTCTGCTTGCATCGAAGACTAAGATCGCCCTGCTCAAGACGCTCTCGATACCGCGACTCGAGCTCTGCGCAGCGCACCTACTGGCTAAGCTCGCTTCCTCGTTCATCGCTACCGAAGACTTTGCTAGTGTCCCTTTGTAACTGTGGTTGGACTCTAAGACCACCCTGCATTGGATTCACGGAATCCCTGCCCGATGGCCGATCTTCGTTGCGAATAGGTGCGCGGACATAGTTCACTTGACTCCCCGAGCGACTTGGCAGTATATCAATACAAAGCAAAATCCGGCGGATCTTGCATTGCGAGGTAGTACTGCAAGTGCCCTCCGAGACAACAAGCTGTGGTGGCGCGGGCCTGAGGAACTGGTCGCAACGTCGCAACCTTGGACTGCCACAAACTTCGATAACAGCAACGAAGCTACTGCCGAGATTGAGACACCTGAGCGAGTAGCTCTGCTCCAGGAGGTTACACCACAACTAGAGTGCGAGATCATAGCTCGTTTCTCCTCATATTCTAGAATGAGGCGAGTACTTTATTGTTTACGTTTCATAAAAAAGCTCGCACTAAAATTCGATGTAAGATTGAGCTTGCAATTTGAATCTTCCGCTGAAAAAGAGATATCAGTGAACGAACTAACTTGCGCCATGATACAGCTTTGTCAAATGACCCAGGCCTCGTACTTTTCAAAGGAAATCCTCTTGGTGAAATCCGGACAGCGATTATCCAAAGGCCATTGCTTGAGGAAATTAAGCCCCAAAATTGAAAATGGATTGCTCAGGGTAGGTGGTCGATTACACAACTCCCTACTAAGCGATGATTGTAAACACTCGATAATTCTGCCTACGAAAAGCCGACTCACGACGTTATTGATCGATCATATGCACAAGGTGACGTTGCACGGTGGTGTGCAGTTGATTGTGTCAGACAACACTATCACATCACATCTCAGAACACACTATCACATTTCAGACAACACTATTGGATCCCAAGACTCAAAGTCGTGGTCAGCGCACAATTGAGAAAGTGTGTTGTTTGTTTGCGATATAGAGCCGCTACTGCATCGCAGCGAATGGCTGATTTACCCGCCGTACGCGTCACACCTGATCGGCTGTTTAAAAGCTCCGGTGTTGACTACGCTGGGCCTTTCATGTTAAAAGCGTCCAGGCATAGAGGCTCGTTTTCGTACAAAGGATATATGGCCATTTTTGTTTGTATGGTGACTAATCCATTCATTTAGAAGCTGTGTCATCTTACGATACTGCCTCATTTATTGCAGCCTGGAAGCGCTTTGTCTCTCGCAGAGGGCAGTGCTTGCATATATACAGCGATTGCAGCACGAATTTTGTAGGCGCAGACGCGCAGCTTCGCCAAATGCATTGGAAAGGCTCGGCATTCTACAAGTCGATTTTTTCGCACTTGAGTGGTGAAGGCATAACTTGGCATTATAATCCGCCCGGTTCTCCTCACTTCGGAGATTTGTGGGAGTTAGGTGGTAAATCTGAAGCGATTTTAAATTCTCGGCCCCTCACTCCTTTGCCTGAAGAGCTGGAGCCTGAGACGGTACTGACTCCCGCTCATCCGATAATCGGTGAATCTTCTTTTTTGATTGTTGAACCTCCGGTAAAGTCTGAGAAAATCGGAGCGTTAGAAAGGTGGAAGAGGTTCACTCAGTTGACGCAGGTATTCTGGGAGCGGTGGTCCAAGGAGTACTTGTATACGTTGCAAATATACAAGTGGCAATAAGCCGAACCGAACATCGTGGTCGGCGATATCGTTTTAGTAAAAAACGAAAGTACTTCGTGCGCCCGTTGGCCTATGGCGAAAGTTACGGCGATCCACCCTGGGAGAGATGGTTTGGTGCGAGTTGCTACAGTCACGACGGCCAGTGGGTCTTATAAGAGGCCCATCGTTAAGCTCGTCAAACTCGTAGACCAACCCGACGAATAAGTCAGGCTTGATAAAGCAGCACGTCCTAAAAAGCTTCGGGGTCTCGCCGCTAGAAGTCGCATGTCAAACCACAAGTGAAATTGCTCGGAGCAAGTATAAGTTCGAGACATCGTATCGTGCGAAAACTGTACGTTTTACTAGTTTTCTAGTGTTGTGCTAAGTGTGACACTCTGCACGAATATCCAACATGGCCTCTCGACGCAAACGTCAGAGTAAGAAGAAGAGCACGGGTAAGCCTACGCCTAAGTTGCACGGAAAAGCACGCAGAAAACAGCGCTTGCTTGAGTTCATTGGGCAGCGCAAAAAGGCTCGTAGTGACGCTGCAGAGCAGCGTTAAAAGGCTCTTAGTGACACGGCAGAGCAGCTCACCGAGGTTATGGTAAGAGATCGACTACGCCAGCGTGCCATGGCAAGGAAGACTGATACTCCGATGGAAGTGACTTGTGCAGCGTGCAAAAGTGAAACAGTGTCAGTTCAGAGCATCGTTGCTACTGAGTTAGTGCTCGTGAGTGCGGATTCTGAGGTGGCGACCTTGCCCTCGACCGACGAGAAACCCCTCAATGTTGTCCAGGTCGACGCTGTACCTGCGCAAACAACCGTACCTCTTGAAGAGTCAGAAAAAGCCGAGAAGTTGGATGCTGTCGTAAGCCAGTTACCTTGGCGGCTAATTCCTATAACTCCTTCATACAGGCCAATATCGCGAGCCGTCTTGCAGCGCCGAGAGGAGTTTCACCGGAATCGCGAAACTATAGTGCGCCGACAACTGAGGGAACGCGAAGCGGAAATGCGCCAACGACTGAAGCCCGAACCAATGGTGAGAGACATCTTCGCGGAGCGATTGGACGTCCCAGACGAGGAGTACAACGAGTGGTTACATCCGACTTGCGTAAGCTTCTCCGATATGAGGTTTTGATTTATTAGGTTAAGATTTATATGAATTTAATTTTTATGTTAACTTTATTTCTACCTATTGCTAACATTTATTGCATTAATTTTTCTTTATTAGTTATTTGAAATCCACAGATGGATTTCGGTAGGTGGAATGTTTAGATTTCCGCTGCTGGGTGGCGTCTACTTGACCCGCCGCAGTACCCGCATGAGAGCGAGTAAGGCCGCGAGCTTATTTGGACCGAGAGTTAGCATGGTGGGGGTATACGATGTCAGCGCTGCTTCGCGTGGTGGCAGACTCAAGAAAAAAAACAGGACGCTTTTACATGCTTATACATGCTTATACATGAGTTAAACAATACAAGTGATTTAAAAATTGCCTTCTCATGTAAATTGTTGCGTTATCAACTGCGGTAATACCTAGAGAAACACTGATATTAAATTTTATTAATTTCCTTATTCCCAAAATAGACTTAACCACCGGAATGAGTGGATCAAAGCCGTTAGAAGGAATAAGTATGACATAACCTCATTTTCATAAGTTTGAGTGCTGTCAAATAGAATAGGGTAACTGTGCCAATACCCGGCCACCCCCCAATACCCGGACACTTTTATTCAAGTCATATAAACATTTGAACAAATAATAAAATGATACAAATGATATGATCGAGTTAAGTATTATTCACGAAGTGAAATTATCGTTTCATATAGTAATTTTTAATTAAATTAATGGAATTATATAGTATTAAAAAGTGGACGGATATTGGCGCAAAGTGATTTTTCTTAAGACTAATTACCGGCCACTTTTTAATTTAAATTTACGACGTTTACATTTTTTTTTCCAAACTTTCTTTGTGAATTTCGACATAATTGAGGGTAGAAAATGGCCGGGCAATAGAACATCACTTCTTAGCTGTCCGGGTATTGGTACAGTCACCCTATATGCAGACTTACGCTCACAGAAATCGTTCGCGCAGTTTCAAACTCAAGATTGACATAACCTTTTTCGAAAACTTTCAGCGCAACTTTTTCACAACAGAAACGGCTGATACTGTTTTGAACTAAAATGTATCTTCAAGTTTAATCATAAAGAATTTGAAATAATGTTTTGTTTGTACGAAAAGATACTTTTATTTGGTTTTTACATAAAATTGAACTCATGTTCTACTTGACTCAATGTATAAGCGTCCTGTTTTTTCTGCTAGGTACCACGTGAACAATAATCATAATCAACGCTCGAGGCGAATAAGCAAGCCTGCTCTCGCGGTATATTCGATACGATCAACTGATCGAACGGGATAACTCGCTTGCGAGTTGTTCTGCTTGACGAGTGAGTCGTGATAGCGAAGTGTTCACAGTTCGAGTCGCCGCGCAACTCGGAGTTGGCTTGGTAGGAGAACTCATTGAGTTTTCGGCGCGCCGAGTCATCTCCTTGAGTTGAATGGTGGGTAGGCTTAGCCTGCGATCGCCGTTACTACAACTCGTCGAGTAGGAGCAGCGCGTGAGCGAGTGTATCACACGAGAGCTTGAGAGCTTGCAAGCTCAAGACAGTTTCTCCGTAACGGCAGCAGCCAAACGGTTAATTTATAGTTTTAATGAATTGAGTTTTACGCTCACGTTAAATGTTGCGAAATCAAAGATTTTTTCGTAAGCATTTTGTCAATACATTTATATTTTCCTTTTTATTTCAATGCTATCATTGTAGAATTATACAGGGTGCGACAAAAGTATGGAAACCCCTGGAAATATCGCAGAATATTCGTTAAAAAAAATCAAAGACCTCATATCCGACGTATTTTTTGACGAGAAATCCGATGGTTACCTGAATTTTACCTTGAACGTAACCTTGAAGCCCCAGCGACCCAAATATCGATTTTTCAAATAGTTACCCCCAATTTTTATTGCAGATTTGAAAAGAGTGGAGATTTTTCACGTTAACATACATATTTTGTTTTTTTTTTCAAGGTCCTTTTAGAGGCGGTAGAATTAGAATAAAAGCGTTTACTCGAACTTAATTTTAGGTTAAATGAGGGTTTTATTTTCGCCTGTAATGCCCTTAAAATGACTTTGAAAAAAAAACATAATACATGTTTAAATGTAAAATTCTCCGCTCTTTTCAAATCTGCAATAAAATATGGGGATATCCATTTGAAAAATCGATTTTTGGGTCGCTGGGGCTTCAAGGTTACGTCAAAGGTCAAATTCAAGGTCACCATCGGATTCCTCGTCGAAAAATATTTATTTATTTATAATAAATTATTTATTTACTTAAAAAAAATTATTTATAATAATAAATATATATTTAAATATACTGTTATTTTTTGATTTACCGATTCCTACCCACATCACAAGCAGGTTTATTATTATTTACACAGAGAGGTTTATGTTTTTCGTGTACCGGCGGCCATGTAGTATTGGCTTTGGTGAGAGTGTCAAATAATCAATTAAGGACTGATAAGTGTGTCGACCAATTAAGGGCCAACGATTAATCATAGAATCCTAACACTTGACAGCCAGCAACAACAGCTAAAGCTACTCCATAACAGTCCAATTTATTAAATGTTAAATAACTAAATATACTTTGAAGATGAGCTCTGTCCTTGTAGTAACCCAAGAGCCAATTAAGGGCTGAAAGTATATCAACAACAATGACACGAGGAGCAAATGTATGCTGCAAGCTCGTTTAGTCAAAATAATCAACAATGTGCACTATGATATTCAAGAATTTATCAACCAATTAAGGGTTGATAAGTGTGACTGCAGTCTATTTATAAAGCGCGCATGAACAAAAATCCACTCAAATTGAGTAAAATTAATTTAAAAATAATGTATGCGTGTTCAGAAAAATATGTTCGCATTGAACATTATATTAAGCTGTTCATAAGCACAAAATCGTCTGCTCGTATGTACCAGTATGAAAAGCGAGAAATCAGCCAAGTACTAATACTAAAAGTACACTTGCTATATATTTGAAAGTCAAGAGCAAATCGTGAATTATTTGAACATCTTCACAAGCAATCGACTCGAACGTGTCGACTCGAACGATCGAAGCCTGCTACGACGCGCGACAAAAACAAAGAAGACTCGCTTCAAGGAAAGAGATTCGTTATTATTCTGCTTGCTCGTACGATGTCTTTGCTTAAAACCAAGAAAACTACAGATTTACTCGCGCTAAGAAAAATTT